CTGTTTTCAACCCGAACAAACCTAGCAAGCTTCGCATAGTTTTCGACGCCGCAGCCTCAGTCAATGGAGTGTCACTGAATTCAGCTTTGCTGAAAGGCCCCGAGCAGGCACAACCGCTGCTACGCATATTGTTACAGTTTAGACAAGGGAAGATCGGAGTTGCGGCAGATATCAGAGAGATGTTCTCACAAATAAAGGTACGACCGATAGATCAACACGCACAACGTTATTTATGGCGGAACGGGGACCCCAACGAACCTATACAAGAGTTTTTGATGACAACGATGATTTTCGGTGCAGTTTGCTCACCGTGTATCGCCGAGCACGTGAAGAATAAAAACGCCGAAAGATTTGAAACAGAATTCCCGAAAGCTGCATCTACCATAATAAATAATCACTACGTCGATGACCTGGTTGTCAGTTTTGATGTTGCACACGAAGCCATTACAGTCTGCCAACGGATTGTAAACATCAATTTGGAAGCAGGTTTCGAATTACGAGATTTCATATCCAACTGCAGTAACGTAGAGAGAGCGTTGAACAAAACACCACCAACAACGCGTGAAATAATTAACATGGAACGTAGTGAAACCGCCGACAAGGTCCTCGGCATGTACTGGAACACCAAAGAAGACGTATTCGAGTTCCATACGAAGTTTCATCGCGTACCGCAATCAGTGCTTTCTAGTGAGCGAGCTCCGACGAAGCGGGAGTTACTCAGCATCGTAATGGCAGTTTTCGACCCATTTGGGTTATTGGCGAATTTCTTAATCTCTTCGAAGATTATGGTGCAAGAAACCTGGAGGCAAGCCATCAACTGGGACGAAGCTCTTTCTGCAGATCTGACAGCGAAATGGATACCCTGGTGGAAAGAGTTTCAGCGCATCAGAAATTTTCAGATTCCACGGTGCTACTCGGCCAATATCTCATGTAGCAGCAACATAGAACTACACATCTTTGTCGACGCTAGCCAAGTAGCATTTGCAGCAGTTGGTTACTTCCGCGTGGTGCACAACGGCGTAGTGGACGTGACTTTCGTAATGGCTAAAACTCGCACCGCCCCTAATCGCTTAATGTCTATTCCTAGACTTGAGTTGCAAGCTGCAGTACTGGGCACCAGATTAAGTAAGATGCTTGTTAGCTACCACGACTTCAATATCAGCCGCATTCTGTTTTGGAGCGACTCGCAGACTGTATTGCAATGGATTTATTCCACCGAGAGAAAATACAAGGCCTTCGTAGGTCATCGCATTGCTGAAATCATAAGCGTAACTGTTCCCGAGCAGTGGCGTTGGGTTCCCACTAATAGCAACCCAGCAGACGCAGCTACACGGCCGTCAAATCCACCTAGGTTCAATACAGATGACCGCTGGATCAACGGCCCTGAATTCCTTAAGTACAATGAGCTACATTGGCCAGCCACTATTGTCGAGCGTCCCGCAGTAATGCT